TTTTTTTTTCTTTTTATGCCGAGTCAGGAAGACTCCGGTAAGCAAGCCACGTGAATCTCGGCTTGTTGATAGCAAAACAGAGCACAACTGAGAAAATGCTGCTACCAAAATTCTGTGCTTCTCTCCGTTCTTCTGTTTCTAAAATTCCTTTAAATCTTTTGTTATTTTGCGTGGAAATTCATCATCCCACTTCTGACACCATTCTGTTAAGAGAAGCTTTTTCTTTTGCTAGCCGCTTTGGTTTATCCCCTGCCAGTTGCCTGGGCTCTGCCGCGCCAGCCTGGTTCTAGATCTGCATGAGTCCCAAATAAACACACAGGAGGCTATATTAATTATGAAGCTGTTGGCCTTGTTTGTCTCTTACTGGCTAGCTCTGCCTTAAGTAATTACCCCATAATTGTTAATCTAAGTATGTTTCTTACCGGAGAAGTTTCCGGGCTCCTACCCGGCGTTACATGTCGACTCTCTCGTGTTTCCCCTTCCCAGAATCCTCCTCGACTCCTAGTCCCTCCTATCTAGGTTTTCTATTGGCCAGACAGTACTTTATTGACAAATGCACAGGCAAATAACAGGACTTCCCCAACACGACATCATAAAAATTGGCCAAGTGGGGCTGCGATCATGGCTCAGAGGTTAGCAGACCTTGCTGCTTATGCTAACGGCCAGAGTTCAGTGCCCTGCACGGGTAATGAGAAACTCACAACTGCCAATAACTCCAGTTCCAGGATATCTAACACCCTCTTCTGGACTCTGCAGGTATGCAGGTACCCACCACATACGTGCTCTCTCTCTCTCTCTCTCTCTCTCTCTCTCTCTCTCTCTCTCTCTCTCTCTCTGTATGTGTCTCTCTCTTTCTCTCATACACACCCTAAATTTTTTTAAGGTTGTTTAGTTAATTATGGTTGTGAGTTTTTTGTTTTGTTTTTGAGACAGAGTCTCACTGTGTAGCTCAGACTGGGTTGGAATTTGTAATCCTCCAGCCTCAGTCTCCCAAGTGCGGAGATTACAGTCGCCAGTCGTGTGACATCACACCTGGCTACATTATTGGGTGATGCTCTGATCACACCATCAGCTGGCCCTTTAACTCCATCAGGGTGAGGGAACCCACAGTCCTGTTCCGGTAGTTGGCATGATCTATAGTTATTTTTACCCCTTCCTCCCCCCAAAGCCATTATTCCTCAAGAAGAAAAGAAAAATCTGTTTCAGTCTGGAAACTATAAACACAACCCTTGGAAGTATATTAATACTTAATGTATTAATTTATAATACATAAGCCATTAAACAAAGTGGGGCCTAGAGCGATGGCTTAGCGGTCAAGAGAACTTGCTGCTCTTGCAGAGGACCTGAGTTTAGTTCCCAGGACCCACATCCAGCAATTTATAACTCTAGATTGGGGTGGGGGGAGCATCTGCCTCTCTGGGAACTGTACTCACACTGTGTGCATATGCATCTGAGTGTGTGCACACACACACACACACACACATCAAAAATTAAAGTAAATCCTAAAAATGCTCTGAACTCATGTCGGGCCATTTATAATTAGAGACTGACAATTTCCTCCTTGTTTGTTAAGGGTTTATGTGGCTTGCATCGAATACCCTGAGCCAGACGCTGTTAGGCAGTTATCAGTTTCCTTGGCTGTGGAATGGGTATACCAGACCCTTACTTTCTTCACTGTGCCCCGTTTAAAAACAGAAAAAAAGCTCTACTGAAATATTAATTGTGGCATTAGTGGGTGTGGAGTTGAGGCCGTATTTAGAATTCATTCTCTCACCAAGTTGGCAAAGTAGAATCCCGCTCATATCAAGTTTCGATGTCTGGGGTGCATTAGCCTCAAAGGCTTTTTCATCCACGCTGTCTCTGCACTCAAGACATCATTTTGGGAAGAAGAGTGCATCAGCTGGTCCTCAGAAGGCCCGGGGAGGGTCGGTCACAGCTAATATGTACGTTCCCTGTCAAAGCAGATAGATGAGAACAAATGCCCACCATGTAACCTGTGTGTGCCGGGGGTTGGGGGGATGCATGTCCATGTCTGTCATAGTGCATGTGGAGGTCAGAGGTCAATAACAGGTGCTCTCAATTACTGTCCACTTCAGTTTTCACTTAATTTTGCATGCATGAGTGTTTTCCCTGCATCTATGCACCATATACGTGCAGTTCCCAGAGAGGCCAGAAGAGGGCATCAGATCTCCTAGAACTGGGGTATAGAGAGTTGTGAGCCATCATGTGGGTGCTGGAAATCGAACACAGGTCCTTTGGAAGAACAGCCAGTGCTCTAAGTGGCTGAGCCATGTCTCAAGTCTCCACCTTAGTTTTCGAGACAAAAATCTTTCATTGTGCCTTGAACTCAACTGATTCAGCAAGGCTGGCTGGCCAGCCCATTGTCGTAAGTTAACTGTCTCTGCCTCCCTAGAGTTGGGATTAGAGGTGTATGCTGCCATGTGTAGCTTCCATTTTCCTTACCCCCTCTTACTTTAACTCCCTCGTCTCTCTCTCTCTCTCTCTCTCTCTCTCTCTCTCTCTCTCTCTCTCTCTCTCACATGCGTGTTTTGTCTTCATATGTGTCTTGTATACAGCAAGCATTCCTGGTACCTGTGGAGGCCAGAGGAGGGCACTGGGTCTCCTAGAACTGGGGTTACAGGAGGTGGCATGCTTCCTGCTGTGTAGGTGCTGGGAATCAAATGGGGATCTTATGGAAGGGCAGCCAATGTTCTTAACTGCTGAGCCATCTCTCCAGCCCCTGTGCCTGGCTTTTTAAATGTGGGCTCCAGGGGGATTGGACTCAGGTCTTCATGCCCAGGTAGTGCGAAGAGATCCAGTTACCATATGATGCCATCTGAAGCCTGCCTTTGTCTTCTTTGTAGTTTCCCCATCAGAGGTTGGAACAGAGAAACGCAGGCTTGCTGCTCTCTGAAATAGGATTTCAGTGTGGGTAAATACATCCGGGCCTTGATGTGCTGAGTGCCGACTCTCAGCTTTAACATTTGCAGGAGTGTGAGTGCCAAACTTAGGCGGGCTTGGTGGAATAAGCGGATGAGGAGATGAAAAAGACATGACGATTGTGCACCGAGGTGCAGAGGCCAAGGCTGGGGTCTGATCCTGGTGCTCTGCATTAGGTACCGCTGTGTGTTTCAGCCTGCGTGACGGCCACAGCGGTTGTTCCAATTCACACCGTACTGGCTGTATGGCATGCCAATGCTCAGCCGCCATCCATTGGTGTTTTTATTCCCGGTATACCAAACAACCAAGGCCAACCCAAGAGGAAGAATTAGGGCTCCTTCAGGCAGGCAGCCTCAAAGGGACAGTCAGACCCTTTCTGTGATGGGCAGGGTGTCTAAGGGGGATGTGAGAGGCACCTGTGCCCTGGACATCTGCAGCCCTGCTGTCAGGATTCAGGGCCTTGCTAGTGTGCCCCGCGAGGCTCCAAGGAGAATTGTAGTCACAGTGATGAGTAAGCACCCAGACCACGGGGGGAGGGGGGGGAAGGAAGGGGAAGGGGGACATTAGAGCCGGCACAGCCTGCTCAGCAGTTGACGGTGGATGAGTAGTCCTGCTGTTGTAGGAGCCAACCAAGTCCTGCTGCTGTGGGAGTGAGGACTCATAGCTGAAGATGCTTTCTGAGAGTCCCCCGAACCACCGAACCCATGGTCTTGCACGTGCTATGCAAGTGTGCTCTGCCAGGGGGCTACCCCACCTGCGCTTGGCCTTTTTTTTTTTTAAACCTTGTCTTACTTGTAAAAAAAATGTCAAATTGCACTTATTGGGGGGAGATCAGCACAGGTGTGGAGATCAGAGAACAATTTACAAGAATTGGTTCTCTCCTTCCACTGTGTAGGAACCAGGGATCTAACTGGAGTCTTCCGACTCAGTAGCAAGCCTCTTTGCCTGCCGAGCAATCTCCCTAATGACACAGGTTCTTTCTATGCAGCTCAGTCTGGTCTTGTGTAGTCTAAGCTGGCCTGGAGCTCATGATCCTCCTGCCCCGTCTGTAAACAGGCAGCGAGGTGCGCGGAAGAATCCTGTGGGTGGAAAGTAACACGGAGAAATCCTGTTGCAGTGTCCGTCATCCGTGGCCTGAGGTGCTGGGTCTGCTGATTGCATGGGTTGGCAAAGGCGGTGCAGGACCTAAGAACAGTGAGACCCTGAGGAGTCATACTCCTTGCTGCAGGGAGTCCCATGCCCATTGCCCGCGGGGACAGATTTCACTTCGGTCTTCCTCAGGCCTACTGACAGTCCAAGGAGGACAGTTCGATTGGCTACAGCATCAGGCATCCCCCCACTGTGGACAGCATGGGCACCCCAACACCTTCACAGCAGACGAAGGAAGAGCAAGGCTCTGTAGCCCCGATAGTTCAGAGTTAGGAAACACGACAATTAAAGAAAGTGAGGCAGGGCAGTTCATATAGGCTCAGCAGCTGAGTGATGTGGGGAAGGCTTTGTCCCAGGGCTCACAGAGAGCCTATATGAGGCTGTAGCGCAGGAAGGTGTCTTTCTTCTACAGATAGTGCTCGGGGCAGACAGACTGTGGGACAGGGTGCTTGCAGGTGGAGAGGGGCAGGAGACACAACAGGGCTTGACTCAGGAGGCAGTTGTGACACACTCTTCCTCCCTTCCATTGTGTGGCTCCGGACATTCAAACGCAGTTTATTTAGTTTCGGGTAATGAACGTTGCAGGCAACTGGTACCATCACAGGACCTTTCTGCTGCAGTGCGGAGGGTGCATGGCCTCCGTCGCTTGGACTTTACTCTAGAGAGAGCTCAGGTTTGCAGGCACCTGTGCATTAGGGCCACGTGGCAAAAGAAAACTTTCTGGGCCTGGTTCCAGAGCTGCTGACCAGGACGCTGGAGGTGTGGCCCAAGCCTTTGCTGCTGCTTCAGGGCCACACTTTAAGTACCCAAGGGTAGCCACATCTTCACAGTGCTTGTGATGTAAATTACCAAGTCCACCGTTGCTGTAAACATGTTTTATTCAAAGGCTTGTTTTTGTCTCTTTTAAACAGGTATTTTGATGTTGGACTGCACAATTTCTTAATCAGGTAAGCCAGTGCCTTTTGTTTTCAGCTCTGATTGAATAGTGTATCTATTACGGAAGGATGCAAAGGGGAAAAGCCTTAGCAAATGAATCAGTAGTTGAATTACTTGCCAGGAAAACATTGCCACCTCTATGTGTGCATTCACCACAACCCCACGTAAACAATTGCTCAGATCTGTTTACATCGGAAGCCATAGTTAACTGTCTTAGTTTGTTTTCTGTTGCTGCGACAAAACACCTACAGAAACCAACTTGGGGAAGAAAGGGTTTATTTAGGCCTGCAGTCCCACCGTCGAAGGAGGCTGAGGCAGGAGCCAAAGCAGAGGCCACGGAGGCAGCTTGCTGGCTGCCTCTGCCTTGTTCATTTGGGTTTCTAATCCGCCCAGGGCGATCTGCCAAGGATGGTACTGCCCATTATAGGCTAAGTTCTCCTATGGCAGTCAGCAATCAAGAGAGTGTTCTACGGACACGCCCAAGGCTGATCGGATGTTTCTTCTCAAGGCTATCCAGGCGACAATCAGAATTAACCGTCACGTTTGCCACGGTCTCACTTCCATCTACTAGGCCACTGGGAGGAGACACAGAAAAATGAGCTTTATTGGCCCGTGTCAGACATTGAGTAGTCCAGTTCCCTCCCATGGCGTTTTAATCTTTTTAAAACTAAATCTATCACTTGCTTTACAATCATGGAGACATGACCTGGTACATAACTGAGATAATAGGCAGCAATTTATAATTTAGTTTATTGGTGTTTTTTTTTTTTAACCAAAGTTGTATTAGGGAGCACTTTAATTTCACCTAGCTATGAAATTAAACAAACTAGGTGGAAATAAATATATCAGAATATTGACAGTGCTTATAAAAGGTGTGTGATTTTTGAAAATCAACTTCATGGGGCTAGAAAGAGGGCTCAGTGGTTGAGAGCACTCATTGCTCTTGCAGAGGACCTGGGTTTGGTTCCCAGCACCCACCTGGCAGCTCACAGCCATCTGTAACTCTAATTCCAAGGGGGTTCTTCTGGCTTCTGTGGGCACCAGGAACACACACAGTGTACACACATAAAGGCATGCCAGCAAAATACTCATAAAATAATGAGTCTTTAAAGAAAAATCAACTTTTCTGGATTTTCTAAATTTTTCCCAGTGATCATCATTGCTCTAATAATGTTAAAAAATAACAGAAATGCCCATAAAAAATGTATGCGGGGATAACGGTTGCTGAAGGAACCACCGTAGATGTAATGTTTCAAGGGAACCAACCCTCAGCTGGAGAGATGTGCTTTCTCTAAATACGTGTCTCATGTGAATTGATTCCAAACGTTTGCTACGCTTTAGTCATTGAGGCTTTTGTGTGTGCCGTGCAGTGGTTTCGCTGGCCACCAGACACAGCCCCTTCCCTACTGTTAAGATCCTGACGGGAAATGCCACCGGCATATGGGAGTGTGCAGCAGGGGTCAAGCCCCTTTGTCCTCTTTTCCAAGGGCTTTCTTTGGAGGCTGCACATTGAAATCTCTTCAGTCTGCCCCACGTTCTGGAACGTGGAATGCCTTGATTTTTTTTCCCCAAGATGGTAAACGCAGAGTAGCAGGAATGGATAACGAACCAGAGAAACACCGAAGAGGTGGACGGGAGAATTCCAGATCTAAGTGGATTATAAAAGGCTGTCTGGGAAGACATCCAGGATAGCAACCCCTTCACCCTCTACCTGGGCACGGAACCCAGGTCCTTGCTAGGTAACCCTCGCTGCTGGCCTATACGTCCAGCCCACTGTGGATTTTGGACTTGATGTTTTGGTACTTTGTACTCTCGCGGAATGGTTCCCCCAACGCCTTGTGGTGGGAACAAGTTGGTACTTATATCTCCAGTAGCTTTCTTCAGGACAGGGGTCAAGTCCTAATTGTGTATCAGTATTCAAGCTGAGAAGCTTACATGGGGTGACCCTTCAACAAGCATTTGTGGCGGGAGTGAGTGAATGAAATGGGAGAGAGGAGGAGGTAACGTTAGACCAGGAGAGCGAGCCTGCTGTTCGTCTCCTACAAGGATGCATCTGGATGCTGTCATTTGCAAATAAACGAAACAAAACAATAACAAAACAACAACAAAACCCTCTACATTTGACTGGAAGACATTCTGAGCTTATCCTTGTCACTTTGTGCCTTGACTGAGAGGATGGCCTGCTCTTGGGGTCTCATTTCCTTGTCGGACTCCAGGTATGTGGGGTATGGAGGAGAGAGAGGCATCGCTGGTGCCAGATCCCTGGATGGAGCCTTTTAGAAAGGCTGTAGCTAGTGACTACTGTGTGAAACAAACGGGGTGTGGGGAAGGGAGGTTTCTCTCTGCCCTGTGAACCCTGGGGTTTACCTTACCCCTTACTCCAAGGCAGCCAATGTGGTGATTCAGTGTTTATGATTTAATAAAGCTTGCCTGGGGATCAGAATGCAAAGCTAGCCACACTAGCTAGCCATAGAGGCCGGGCAGTGGTGGTACACACCTGTAATCCCAGGACTCAGGAGGAAGAGGCGGAAGGATCTCTGTGAGTTCAAGACCACCCAGGGCTACACAAGAATGAGTCAATCTAAAAGAATAACAGAATTCATGCTTTTAATCTCAGCACCAGAGAGGTATATAGGAAGAAGCAAGGGGTCTCATGTGGCATTTAGTTTTCAGTTACAGGGAAGACGGGATCTCCATTTCAGCCTTGGTAGAGGTAAGAGATAGTGGCTGGCTGCTTTGCTTCTCTGGTCTTCAGCTTGAACCCTAATATCTGTCTCTGGGTTTTTATTATTCGTGTTACAAGCCACAGCAAATAACACATGCTGCTTTATGGTTGGGGAATGAATGACATCTCCCTTCTTGACAGCACCCCAGTATCTGTGAGCAGGAGTTTCACCCTCCACCCTGTGAGGACGGCACTACATGGCATCCCTTAGCAAATGACTTAAAGACCCCAAAGGGCCTCTTCCTGGCTCCCTTACCCAGGAAGTAGGTTAGGCAGATATAGATGCTTGGAGCAGACTGGGCCTCTTCTCGCTCAGGAGTCCCAAGATGGGCTGCTCCTGGCTTCCCAGCTTGCCTTCTCCTAGCTTTGGAGGTTAGGCATGAGAAACCAAGGGTGTTCAAGGTTGGGCACACTGATAAGAACTTTTTCAGTGGACCAATGATACTAACGCCAGGCTGTAGAGGGTACGTAGCAGCGGAGTGTATCTTGCTGTGGTCAGGGGCCCTGCAGTGCACCAGAAAAGGGTGACATTTTTCTGTGGACACAACCCCAGAGGAAATCTATGAGCCAGAGAGAGAGAGAGAGAGAGAGGGAGAGAGAGAGAGAGAGAGCACACGAGCGAGCTTATACTTGATTCTTTCTGAGGGAATATATATTCACCGTTGTAAAAGATGTGTAAAAGGGATAGGCACCGCTACTGTTTGTTTTTGTTTTGTTCTAATAACTATTTGATGGCACTATCAAGCTCCGGAGATGCTCCCTGTGTTTGTCAGGTTCTCTCAGATGCTCAATGCTGGCATAAAGGAAGTGCAGCCCATCTGATTAGTCAGCTGTGCCTTTGACGTGGATGGTGGTAATGCTGCCTTCCCTGGAGCAATGTTAAGTTTCCCCGGAGCCCACTCTGTGATCTCAGAGCTGAAGGACGGAGCTTCCTTGTCTATGCGAGTGTGCACGGCGCAGGGCTCAGGCAGGAAGGGGCAGTCATATGGGAGACATGAGTATTTTCGTCTGGTGTTTTATGACGACTGAAGGAAAGTCGTGGGCTCCATCCTTCTTCGTCTTTAGAAAAATCAAAGACATTCTTGAGGCAGGAACAGCCACTCATCAGAGAACCTCAGAAGACACTGGCTGGGAGTTTTCATGTGTCACTACAAAAGAAAAAGGGAAAATGACTGGCTTGGCAAGAAAAAAAAAAGTCATAGAATAGAATGCCTTTGTCTCATTATGGATAATAGGTTGGTGTGTTTAAATTTAGCTTAGTCCAGCTTTGGAAAAAAAAAGTAAAGAAAGATTTGTACTTAAAAAAACTTCAGCTTTGCAGTTTTGTCTCATCTAGAATTACAGATAGTGTCCAGGCTGTCTGTGAATCCGTGGATGGAAGCAATCCTCCTGCCTCGGGTCCCAAGTAGCTGTGACTGTAGATGTGTGCCTCAGGGCTGGATTATAGCCCTACCCCTTCAAGGCAAATGACACACACTAATTGTGATGGTTCATTGTGGTCTTCAATGTCAACCAGATGGGACATGGAATCACCTAGGAGACACATCTCTGGCCATCTAGGGAGGTCTTTCTAAGGAGGGTACATCCACACTCGGTGTGGGTGACACTACCTCCTGGGCTTGGGTTCTGGGATAAATAGAAGGAAAAAAGGTAAAAGCAGCCAAGCTCTAGCATCCATCTCTTTCTGCTTCCAAACTGGGTGCAGTGTATCCAGCTGCCTCACACTCCTGCCTCGAAACTTTCCTGCCAAGATGGACTATACACTCAAACCATAGTTTTGTCATAGCTACGAAAAGGAACAAATACGGAAATCCCATGCTGAGGGGTTGGGGCCTTTGCTGTGGTCAACCTGGCCATATGGCCCTTAGATCTTTAGAGTTGATTCATAGCGGGGCTGTAGAAGCATTTGGAGTTATGGGCTAGAGAAGACCCAGAATTGGTATGCAGAGATCAGTGGGTCATTCCAGGGGAGTTTGGAAAGAGAAATGCAGACAGCAAAGCCTGGTCTTAGCATGAGGCTTCAGAGGGGAACAGGGACTCTGTTGGGGCCCTAGGTCAGAGGCCATTAAAGTTCTATTCTGACAAAGTCTGGCTGGGTTCCACATACACCTTGAGAAACTGAGAGAGTTTGAATTCAAAAGTAGCAAACTAAACTGTTTCGTGTAGGAAATCTCAAGACAACAGCATTCAGGCTGGGGGATAGTTTTTGCTCAATGAGTTTATTGACGTCTGTGGTGACAATGGAAACCTGAAGGACTTGAAAACTGTGCAGAGGGTGATGGAGGCGGCGTGAGTGGATGGAGGTGCTGTCTGCGGAGGTGCAGATGCAGTGCCTATAACCGTTAGAGCCATCAGTTGCAATTGAGTTGCACTTGGAACTGAGGCCACAGGAAAGGCGTCTTAAAGGCAAGATGGCACCTGATGTCCAGTTTGTAAGACTGTGAAAGGCAAGAGCCTGTGTTGTGGTTTGAAATGTGAAGTGTCCTCTATAGGCCCGTGTGGTTGAACCTGGTCTCCGCTGGTGGTGCCGTTTAGGAAACCTTTAGGAGGTGAAGTAGTCACTAGGGTAGGGCGGTGAAACTTGCCTGGTCTCACTTTTGCTCATGCTTGGCTTCCTGAATGTGGATGACCAGATAGCTTCCTATTCCTGCCGCCATGCCTTACCTGCCGGCCACCATGCCCATGTCCTACTGGAACTCTGACCCCAGATATATCCTTTATCTGTTAAGTTATTTTTTAGGGTATTTTAATCACAGAAATAGGGAAAACAAAACAAAACAAACAAACAAACAAACAAAAAAAAACAAAGCAGAAGACAAAGAAGTCTTGAGTTTCCAGTTCCTCTGAAAGGGAGTTCCTGCTGGAAAACAACCACCGTAGGAAGTGTTCTCCCGGGTTCAGCCACCAAGGTGAACAAACGTTAAGCATCTGGACTGGGAAGTGCCAGACTGCCCCTCAGCCTGGCAGCAGAACTAAGTGTTGTCTCCATGGTCCTGGCTTTGAAGACATTTGCAAAATTCAAGACTGAGAAGGTACAGAGGCTCTTTACCGAGGGTTTAAAAGGTGCTGAAGCCAGGCGGTACCCAGTAGGGTTAGAGTCCCTGCGTAATGGCCCTGGGAGACGTCATGAGAAGCTGTTAAGGTGAACCCCAAGGTGCAATGAAGACACCAAGATGCTGGAAATGCCAGGGCCTTAGGGGACATCTCCTGGGGAGCTACAGGCACAGAGGAGAGCTGGCTCAAGATTGTCGTGTGTTACAGGCACCAACATGGAAGGGCCTGGTCTATCCAGTGCTGCTGGGACCCAAATGATGCCGCCAAATCTGAGGTCCTGGAAGGGTACGGCAGTGTTTGACTATTTGCTGTTGAGTTTGTTCTTGCTCTGGTCTGGTTTTCCTTGCCAATCTTCTACTTCTCCCTTTTGGAATGGGAATGAACTCTGTGGCACTGGATATTGGACTTAAATAACTTGTCTTTTATCGAATAGGGCCTCACAGTTAGGGATCTGCCTTGAGTTGCAAAGGAGACTTTGACCCTTAGGACTTTGAAAATGTTAGACGTGCTAAGGTTTGGTGGACTCCTAAAAATGAAATAAATATGTTTCATTACTGGCGGCCACAAACCTTGGAGGACCAGGCGTGGAATGTTACAGTTGAAAGTGATATGAGGGTATTTGGCTGACAAAGGATGGACTTGAGAGTTTTCATTGGGAACTTGATCGGATGTTATCACCTTGGAGGCGTGCCACTGGGTGGAGAGATGGGTTTAACCCTGAATGTGGGGAGCACCATCTTACGGTGTGGGATCCTGGACTGAATAAAAAGGAGGATGTGAGGTTAGCACCTACACTTAGTTCTTACTATTTCCAACCGCTAATGCCATGTGATCAGCAGCCTCCGCGTGCCCAAAACCATGCCATCCTGCCGTGAAGGGTGCGACGTCCAAGTGTGAGACTAAAGGAACCCTTCCTTATTTCTGTGGCCGTTTGTTAGGTGTGTTGCCATAGTAATTAATTAGCAGTGTGCCATCCCCCTTCTTTGATCTTTTCCTGGGGAGACAGTTTTTAAAATGCAGAGCATCACTATCCTCTAAAAGAAGACCTGGGTCACCCTTCTAGTTAACAATTTCAACCTCACCGTTTTTATGTGCTTATAAAATATAAAACCATTAAAAATGTCTGTAGAGTAAAGCCTTTTCCTTGCCTGCCACTTTGGTTTTTCCCCACCAATCGCCTGGGCTCTGCCACGTTGTAGTCCCCAAATAACGCACAAGATGCTGTATTAATTTTGAAGCTGTTGGCCTTGCTTGTTTCTTACTGGCTATCTCTGACTTAAGTATTTACCCCATAACTGCCAATCTAAGTATTTCTCTTACCGGAGAAAAGTTCCAGACATCTTACTTCTCTGGCGGGCTCTATCGTGAATCCCTGTGTTTCCCCTACCCAGAGTCCTCCTGGACTCCTAGTTCCACCTATCTTGCTTCCCTATTGGCCAACAGTGCTTTATTGACATAAACACAGGACTTCCCCTTAAAATGTCTTTCCTTATTTTTTTAAAATATTGTGTACATTTAACTTCTTAATCCATTTCAAATGTGTATTTTGAGTAGGTGTCTTTCATTTTCCCCTCAATAGTGAAGTAAATTTTTTTAAACCAAAATTTACGCACTTCTTTCAAACACTGTGTTTGCCTCATCCAAGCCATTGTTTGACACCTTGTTAGGACTCCCAAAGTACGGAGTGAGAACGCTGCCTTGGGTTGTATTTAGGTGGATGGGAAAGGCTGTGAGCCTCCAGGATGGTTCTAGAGCTCTTGAGAAGGTTTGTGGAGTTGGTGTGTCGTTTAGAAAACAAATTCCTGTGGTGGCTAGTGTTTAGTTGTCAGCTCGCCACAACACACAATTGCCTGAGAAGAGACCCTGTTGAGGAACTGTCAGAGCAGGTTGGTTATGGGCATGTATGGGGCAGGGGTGGGGGCAGGGAAGAGGGCAGGATGGAGGTGCCTGTGGGGTATGTATGGGGTGGGAGGGGCGGTAAGCTGTCTTAATTGTTAATTAATGTAGGAAGACCCAGTCCACTGTGGGCACTACCAGTCCCTAGGCCCTCAAGCAATGCTGGCTTTATTCTCTCTGCTCTTGGTTATGAATGAGGTGTGACTAATGGCTTGAGTTCCTTCCATGAAGGACTCTGACCAAGCTCATCCCTGTCCTGTGTTTTGGTCAGGTTTTTTAAAAAATCACAATAACTAACAAAACTAGAGAGATCCCTCTCATACATGGACAGATTCTGCTCGCCGCATGGTGTTTAGTGCAGATTGGATTCTGTACGCGTGCAGATTTTTCTGAGAAAACTCACTTCACCCTCCTGAAATGCGGTTTGTTCTGATGGAGGGAAGGTAGACCAGGTGGCTGCTTACTCCTCGCTCTATCTTTTTCTCCCCAGCCTTTTCGGTGTGTATGTGGCATCTCAAATCCCTGAAAGGACAGGGACTGCCAAACCGAGCAATCTAACGTCACCCGCCTCTGGATTTCCTTTGCTGACACCTCGTGTTTGACTGGTTCATGCCTCCAGTTCTTTAGCTTAGGAGTTGGACTCAAAAAACAAACTGACGCTTGACTTGGAGTCCCAGCGAGAGCCACAAAGTAAATACCGTAAATACTGTAAATCCTAGTCTTGCTTCTTTGCCCAGGCTGGCCTTGAGACCCTGGGCTCAAGTGATCCTCTTGTCTCAGTCTACTGAGTAGCTGGAACTACAGGTGTAGGTCACTGTGCCAGCAACAGCCCCTCCCCTTTTAAGGTAGAGAGCAGCGTCAGTTACAAAGTGAATTACTGTAGTTCATTGTGGGGTTCATGCTCACGAGGAAGATGTCTGCTCACCATCATTGCAGATCTGTTTGGGATTGTGTGATGTTCAAGGTGTCAGGAAGGGGCTCCCTTGCATATTTAAGGAGTCAGGTGGTCAAGGGAGGGATTCATTCAGGGTAAAGGGTGAGAAGAAGGGAGACAGCCACTGTGTTCAGAGGTCCCTCTTGATTCCTTTGGGTTCCCAGATGGAAACCAAGTGGGATGCTGAGTGGAAAGATCCAGGGGGTAATGGGAAACAAAAGCCTTGCATATTTATTTCTAACACACACGGAGGTGACAACTTGCTTAGTTACTGGATTTAATTTCCTTTTTACTTTGCAACAGTAACACCTTCTTTTTTGGTGTTAGTAGACGTTTTTAAAGTAATGAATCGTGTATAACATGGTCTTATTAAAACGGTGTTTACATCTTTGCAGCCCTCTGGATCAGTCCTGAGCACAGGCAAAGGGGACAGGTGGAGTGGGTGTGCACAGGCCATGTGCAAACACTATGCCGTTATATAAGGAGCTAGAGCATCTTCTGATTGTGGCGTGTGTGTGTGTGTGTGTGTGTGTGTGTGTGTGTGTGTGACATCCTGCATCACACTGAGACTACTGAGACTACTGAGGGCTGACTGTATGTATGCAAGTCACTCAGCACTGTACCTGGAGGCAGTGGGACTTGGCAAAGGCTGGTTTTGTCTTTACCTGCTAGTGAGTCACTGGTGTAAGTGCTTCTATCCTGTCCCACTGCAACCCATCCTAGATGTCTCCTTTATGCAATCTCTCTCTAGGTTCCTGTGGGCACTGATTACAAAGCTTTCTGACCCTAGAATCCCCCAGCATACCTTCGACCTTTAGCTCTGCTCCTGCAGAGCTGGGCAGAGCAGGGTATCAGTGTTAATACGAAGTGACTTTTTTGTGATCAGGGGTATGTGAAATCTATGCTTTTAAATATAGGTGTGTGTGTGTGTGTGTGTGTGTACATGTCACATATCCTTCTAGACAGTGAGTGGGGTCTCACTTACCTGTATATTCTCTAGTCCCCACAATGCCCAATATCTGCAAGTTCCCCAAAATGGTTTGGATAAATTTTAGTTTTTAAAACTATAAAAATGTTACGCAGTTATTTACTTTCTATTTAATTTGATTATTTGTGTAACCATGCGAGATGTTGGGACAAGACAGACAGTCGCCCTATCTTAGTTCCATTCCATACAGCAAATACTCAGCAATACGTTGCAACAGAGGTGATCCAGGGGTTGTTAATGAGACAAGGCACAGTGGTGCCCTGTGGCTCCATATGGAGAGCTTGAATTAGACTCACAGCAGTAGACAGTGGACAGTGTTTGCCAGGACAGGCAGAAGCCAGAGCTGCAAGTTACCGGCCAGCAGGTAGAATGCCCAGTGCTACAAGATGAGTTGAGTTCTAGAGATCTGCTTTGCAACCAGCGACTTTTTAGTTAACAGCTCTGTGCTATAAGCTCAGGAGTCTGTTTAGAGGGTAGATCTCATGTGAAGTTTTTTACACCAATAAAAACTTGAAAATGGGAAATCTATGCCAAGTAGGCAAGAAAGTAAGCAACAATGTAACAACAAGCAAGCAAGCAACAATGTAGCAATGATGTGTTGGAGGACACAGGCCTGAGCTCGGAAGCCTTGCCTCGCTGGGGCAGTGGGTAGCCCTTAGGCCATGAGACCGGCAAGGAGGTGGTCTGGACTCAACTGCTCCAGGCAGAGGGAAGGTCATCCCAAAGCCCTGGAAAGAAAAGGACCACATTCAAGGAGCTGAAGGGAACCTGGGCCCGCAGGATGGAGGAACCCGAAGTCTGCCCTGACCAGGAGGAAGAAAGTGTGGCCAGAGTGATAAGGCTTGGGGAACCACTTTAAATGCCAAATTGGGTCTGGCGGTGCATGCCTGTGATACCAACATCACTGAAGCTGAGGCAGGGGCATGGTAAGTTCAAGGTTAAGCCTGGTCTATGTGGGGGATTATTCTGTCTCAAAACAACTAGCAACAAAAAATGCCAGAGGAGCTATGGAGGTGGAGGGTGTTGAGGAGGGGAGCGGCCTGGTCTGACATCCATTTTTCCAAAGTCAGACAGACTTTGTGAGAAGTTCTGTCTTCCTCCAAGGAGCCGGTCCCAGGGTGTCTAACGGGTGCTTGTCCCTTAAGGGGTGGTAGCAGCTGCTCTGAAGCTACTTAGGGTTGGGCCGCAGTCACCCAGAACTACTGTCTCACTGCCCTGCTTACTTGGGTAGGAGTAACGATTAACAACTTACCAACACTCATGTGAGGCAGTTAACTGACAGTGGACCACCACAGCACCTTCTAGGGCATGGGCAGCTGCCCTAGTGCGGGGGCTTGAACACAGAGAGGACTTTCTTCTCATGGCAAGCAACTCTGTCTCCTGACCTCGTCAGCAAGCCTGGGTTCCAGTTTCCATCACAGTCCGTGCCAGGACTGCTTTTCTGGTTCCAGGCGTAGACACTCTGAACGTCTTGAAATGCCTTTCATTCCTTTGTGGGGTGGAAGGACCTTGATCATGGCCCACATGTCAGTGATTGTGATTCTTAGATAGTTCTGTGGCCCATTGCTCACTCCGCCTCTGCCGCTGTTGCTTCTGAGGAAAATGTTGCTAGAGTTTTGTTTCGTGTTTTTTGTCTTTATGACTGTACTATATTTTGGATTTGTTAATTAGAAAAATACAGATTAAAGGCAACACGAACCAAAGAAAACTTTTTGCACTCCGAGAGTTGGCACCCACAGTTCAGACTCCCATATGCATTTCTACAAGTGGCCATTGCTGAAGATAAATGCACCTGACAATAAGTTAAAATGTAACTCCTGCTATATTAACGGAAGTGCCTTCGATACAGAATTTAAAAGGCACTTTTAAATTCGAGAGTCTGAGTGGGGGGGTGCTCTTAGTAAGTGGGGCTGTAGGACTCCCCATCTTGTAGCCACTGCAGACGGCTCGTTCGTTGGATGGGTCTTTTAGTTGCCTTCCTATGTTCGAGGCTCTTTCTGTCTTCAGAGGGTCACAATGCAAGGCGGAAGCCAGACACGTTCTGTCTTTCTGCACACCACAGGTCTTAGAGCCCCAGTCTTGAGATTTAAGATTCTGGACAGTCACGCGTGGGTGGGAGGTGTGACCCTGCGTGCAGCCCAAGTGGCAAGAGTGACACCCGCTTTATTAAGAGATAGAGGTGCTGGGCTGGAGCTCCTCCACCCAGCCCCCTCCCCATGGTAGGGACCTACTGGCTCTGAGCCCAGTTTCAGTTCTGAAAGGGCACCAGTGAGCTGTGGCGGGGTTATCTGTGAACAGTCCCTGGCTGCATCGGCTCCCAGCTGCCTGCAAGGGTCTCTCGGAGGCTGCACTCAAGCTATGGGGACTTCTTTAATGAGCTCCTTTTGAGGGTTAGCTGGAGTGCATTCTGTTATTTATAGCAAAGATAACTAAGGCAGTTTGCTTACCCAATGGGCAGGGGACGATGTGCTCGGCAGGGGGAGTGCATGATCTTCAGCAGGCTTGTTCCATCAGAGGCATCGATTCCACATACCAGAATTAAAGACAATTGCAGCTTTTTTTTTTTTTTTTGCATCAGCACAAGACAGTTCCTGTGAGTTGGAAAGAGCATGAAGTCAGGCATGGAAGCCCTGGGCTCGGGGCTGCCTGACATCTCTTTGCTGTGGTGGTTTTTGTGCAAGTCACTTCTACTTGGGACTGGATTTTCTTATTTGCGAAAAGAGAGAATTCTGTCAGATAAACTTCTGATCAGCCTCTGGTGAGTGGTGCTGGCATGTCTAGTATTAGCGTCTGTCCAGATCTGTGACAGCCAGTATGCTGGCTCTTAATCCCACGTGACTATTTAAAATTCAAGTTCATTACAATTCAGTAAAGCTACCGTGATGTTGTGGCAGAATATCGAATAGATACTTGGTTTCTGTCCCTGGTTCCTGGCACAGAGCCCTTAAAGCCTTTGGAGATTCGAACACCGGGAGGACCTTTGCTCTGGGGTTTTTGTCTTTGAGCTCAGTCCCTACATGGATCTGCTAAGACCTCTGTAACTCCCTGAGCACTAGAAGTCGGGCTCAGCCCCTGAATCCTTTAGAAGCTTCTTTCACTCTAATGAGGCAAAGCTTAATAGACCCACACAGACAGCCTCGGGATGGGGACCGGTTGCCAGGGGAACCAGCTGTGAGTAGAGAGGGTTGGGCCATTCAGCCTCATCTTGTCACCTCTACCCCCAAGCCAGCCAGGCAGGAAGAAAATGAAGGATTTTGTTGTTCCTGACAGCTGTGACACTTGCATGAGAGCCCAAAGGAAAAGAAAGCATTCGGGGCTTTCTATGTTAAGACTGGGTACCATGAGGGGGGTACCTAGGAGGTGGAGTACTCAGAAAAGGCTTAGCAGTTCCCAGACCATCCCACTGTGATCTGTCCGTGGAGTCCTTCCCAAGAGCCTTACTGTGAACTAGCAAACATATGTAAGTGCGTCCCCGATCCTGAGTCATCCTGCAAAATCAACTACGGGTATCTTGGGAACTGTCAGTGTTCAGCTGGTCACTCAGGCAGCAGCTTGTCCATGGTATCTGAGGAGGGGGACTGCCCTATGGGACCCAGCCCTGAATCTGTGGATACTCACAACCTCCGGATGTCTAGTTTCAGAACTGAATCAGAGGCTGGGTCCTGGAGAGTCAATTGCCTGGTGCCGGGGTGGACCTCTTGCATATCTGGCCACAGATGGTTGCCGAGTTGACAGTTCCTCTCTTAGCAGGGCAAACTCTAAAGCTCAGGTGCAAAGCTGAAGTTTTAGAGCTCTGTAACAGTAGTAGCTACTGCCTATCCTGTCGGATAGCAGATAAGACGCTTGAGTCATCAATGCTGTCGCTCTCAGTCTCAGGTGGCAAAGCAGGCTTCTACATGCCCCAGAGATGATTAGGGTCTTCTATACCTTGTCCAGCAGCCAATCATGTCCTGAGCCACCACCTGAAGAGTCACCCCGCTTGCCCACACGGATCCTCCCATCTTCTGCTAATCTCATTCCTCTCCCTCTCAACAATTCCAGCTCAAGAACACACACACCAACGCTGCATCTTGGGATTATCCTAGCAACTCCTTTCCCCGTTACATAGTTGCTTTTCTGGTTACTGTGGCTAATCACTTGACAAAAGCAACCTAAGAAAGAGAGGTTTACTGTCATCTCGTAGTTTGAGGAGATACAGCGTATCCAGGCAGGGTGAGTCATGGCTGTGGGAGGTAAAGACACGCCACCTTGTATCCTCAGTCAAGAAGTGGTGCTCGGTCCACTTCCTCCCTTAATGGAGTCCACGATCCCAGTCTGGGGACCTGGGCAGCCCATAGAGAGGAGGTTATTTCCCCCAATGCAGAGATTCCCTCACAGACACGCCCCGGTTTGTCCTTGGGTGATAGTAGATTGCATCAGGGTGACCATCGTTGTTAAACTGTCACAAACTTGCACACCCACTTCATCTGTAGCTGTGTCGTTTCTCCCATTAAATGTTATTCGTATCTGCCCGGTTTTCTTCATGCTGTTGGGAGCACCCCTTTCATCTTTCACTTCCCCTCTAGCGTGAATCTTACCTGTCATTTCTTCCTTATTCCTGGGGGCTTCCTTCAATCCACTCATCGGAAGGTTGGATCAAAAGCTGGCCCGGATCACTGCCTTGCCTTGACGTCATGTATGCAGCTGCCGTCTATAGATGTAACTAACCCTCTCCCTGCTGTCTCAGGACACTTTGTCCTCCGCTCTCTGACAAACACCCTCACGTCTACTTCCTTCTTTCCCCTTGTTCCCACTTTGCCAGGTGACTATAAAGGTCCGACTGTCTACATCACAAGACACCTGGGCTAAGAGCTGGAGCCAGCCTTGGGGACTGTCCACGAGGACTGTTGGGGTGACAGGTGCAGGGAATGCATATTCAGAGCAAAGGGCGCTGGACGTTCAACCACACCAGATGAATATGTTAGATTAGGAGAGTCCTGAGACCCACGAGGGTGTCCCAGGGACCTGACTCTGACCCAGGAATGAAGAGACATGCAGCTTTGATGTGGCAAGCACGGAGGCAGGGATCTGCAGTAGAAGTCCAAATGCTCATGGGAGCATCACCCAGAGCTGGGTCTACTGGAGCCATCTGGCAGAATGATTACGGCACCGCCCAGCTGCACCTCATCCTCACCCAGATGTTCTGTGAGCTTAGGCTCCTTACTCCCTGCCCCCTTTTGCTTTTTGTTGGCCAGAGAAGATTCTGTTGCCTTTAACTAGAAGCTCCTGGATAGTGTGTGTCTGTAAAAATATGTATGTATGTATGTATGTATGTATGTATGTATGTGTATGTGTATATGTGTGGATGTATGTATGTGTGTATGTGTGTGTATATGAATAAGGTGGTGCAGTATGTCACTCTGCTCTCCCAGACCCCTCAGTGACAGAAAAAATTGGAAAAACCCCAGCTATGTAAAATCGCACGCAGACTATGATATACAAACACTCATGCATGCAGCTTTGTCCAGAGCACAAGGAAAAGAGGTAAGAATTCTCATAACAGTGTGAGCACAATTGAAAAGTTACAAGTTCCTAGGAAATAAGTATTTTAGTAAGTGCCAGCATTTGCAGGTAATTTGACAAAAGGGAGCTCTCTCTCTCCCGGGTATGTGTGTGTGTGTGTGTGTGTGTGTGTGTGTGTGTGTGTGGACTGCCAAGTCTTCAAGATGGAGAAGGGGGACACACTAGTAAGTGTGCCTGAGTCTGAGTGGTGACCACAGAGGATGGATCCTTGCTTTGTGTTCTGTTCACTTCACAGTGTGGGAGGATGGTGCTTACACTGGGTGATGATGCTCACACTGGGGTCTGGGAGGACGGTGCTCACATTAGGGTGTCAGAGGATGGTGCTCACACTGGGGTCTGGGAGGACGGTGCTCACATTAGGGTGTCAGAGGATGGTGCTCACACACTGGGGTGTCAGAGGATGGTGTGTATACCAGAGCGTGGGAAGTCATGGTTCCTGTGCTTCTTAGACAAGTGCATTCCTCTCCTGGGTCCACAGACCATGGCAATGGATTTCTGTCGTCTGGAACACTCCAGGAGTGAACTTTAGCATCAGAGGCTCTTATGGGACAGTGTGTTAAGGCATCAGAGAAGCGGATGTGGGCTGATAAAGCTTCATGTACCCAATCATATGTCAACTATGGCAGCTAAGTGGTGTCTGTTTCTCTAGAATATCTGTATTCAGAAGTATTCGTCAGACCAAAGATGTGGCGGCTCCTTAGTCTAGACAGAGACTGTGGGCTTGAAATGTTCCTGGCATTGTTTAAGAGAGACATGCTGAGGAGGGGATGCTGATGGGAGCTACTGAAGGGGAGCTACAGGGACTGAGGAGTCCAAACGTTTTGTTTTGGACCCCCAGAGTACCACAGACAGGTCTGAACCTTGCTTTTGCTATTTGCCATGCCAAGCTTTGGTTTGGTTTGGTTTGTGCAAGACAGGGTTTCACGTAGCCCAGGATAGCCTGGAACTCACTATGCAGCTGAGGCTGGCCTTGAACTCCTGATCCTTTTGTCTCCACTCCCCCCTTTCTTTTAATTGAAAATAATTTATCATTCAGTGTATTCTGATCATGGCTTTGCTCCCTCATCTCCTCTCCAGGTCCTCCCCACCTCCCCAACCCTTTCAACTACATGCCCCTCCCCCTCTCAGGAAAACCAAGAGGCGAATTAAAGCAAGAATAAACCAAGATGAACAAACAAATAAAAGAAACACAGCATGAGAAACACACACACATACACACACAGATTACACAGACACATACATACAGACACAAACTCCACAAAACTGGAAACCATGATATACAAGGCAAAGACCTCTATGGCTAAATAAAAGCCTAAACAAAATCTCCAAAAAAAAAAAAAACAAACCAAACAACAAAAACAAAAAACATTTGAGTTAATTTTGTGTTGGTCATCTACTGCTGGGCGTAGGGCCTGCCCTTAAGTGTAGTTAGCACAGCCAGCCAATGAGACTCCTTTGGAAGAGCTTATTTTTCCTTTATGAGCTGTTTTCAACTGGAGATCGCTTCCTAACTGCTGGGATGACATGTGCACACACCATGCAGACAGCAGCAAACTTTGGGAAAGTGGGTGAGTACCCAGGAGGGTTCCTT